CTACTGAGGGGCTGGGAGGGGTACACACCCAAGGCCTAAGCCAAGGTCTTCCTACATTCGGAAGGTTTAATAAAGTTGTGGCCTAATTTTAATTCCATAACACGTTGTCAGAGTCTTTATTCCTTTCTTATGACCCCTGGGGGATGGGGCTGTCGCCGCCTGGTCACGCAATGTCAGTGTATGGATTCTCAGTGGTGGGGATATGGGGGGAGGACGAACGGACCTACTACTGAGACAAACTGGGATCTGTACCTGCTGTTACTTGATGGCTTATGATGGTCTGTTGAGGAAATACAAAGGTGGTGTTTGTCAATTTATTTTCTTTTTTAATATAGTGCCGTTTGCCTCAGGATACAGATTATAAGATTGGGTGTCTGCACTATATTACAGCTCCAAATGTACCTGTGAGGGCAACGTGACAAAGATACCCCTTGCTCTCTTCTAAATTCCATATTAAATTAATTGGAGATGGCATCATTCTCTCAAGGACGTATCTTGACTGCAATAGGAGCACTGGAAATGAGCGAACGAGTGAGAATACGAACATATGATAGACCGCTCCACCTACGGCCCTCTTCCCGTCGATGAGATTCTGTTACCCTTTTGCCCTTGAAGGTTGCTATGGTCGTGATTCAGTTGTTTATTTTGGCTAAAACCTGGGTGCTTTTCAGAGACTATGCTAAGAATAAAATGAGTCTATCAGCTATTAATCTGAGAGAAGACACAGGGGTGAGTTGCAAAGCTTCCATCAGGCACTAACAGAGAGAGCCAGGCTGATGAAAATACAGCAAAGATCAAGAGTTAGTATCACAAGGGATAACAGGATTTTGGCCAGACAAATATAATGCATGATCTTAATAAATTACAGAAAAGTAGCCGTGTTAGTTGGGGATGGGAATAGTGTGGGAATGTTCTGGGGTGCAGGAGAGGATATATTGACTAATTATATCCTTGTCCAACTTGTGCTAACAAGTTCCCAAAATATCAGCGGAGTTTATAAACATTCCCCTTTAGTACGCAACGGTAACGTGTGCACAGGTTCGCTAGAACCTCTATAATAATTACCCTGGTAATTTCCCCTTTAGTTCCCTCTTAAAATACAAGACACGACACAGTCTTCATAAAAGTATAAAAGAGTTTACTCACGTCCTGTTCACAATGTGATCCCAGACGGCAGACAGGCTTAAAAAGGTTACATAGATTTAGAATCTATCTCATAGCAAGATAGGCCTTATCTCCTCTCTTGGCTGGGAGCCAAGAGGGCATCCTTAGGTGTTTCCTCATCGAAGGAAAATGGCAGAGAGAGAGAGATGGCTGCCTGCCCTGTGCTTTTTGTCATCACCTGCACAGGTGAGGCCACACCCACCTCTGGTCACATGCGGAGGAAAGTCCGTCCCCAGGAAGTTTACCTGCTTGCTGGACAGACACCCCCCCCCATGTTCTAAACATGTACACTCTAGGAATGTTGTCATTGACTGCTCCTGTGTTTACATCCCACATACCCCTTCTCAGGCAATACAACATATACAAAATATAAACAACTTTATTCAACCACCCAGAGTCCCAGCTTGACACGTAGATTCTGGAAACTCTCTCTTGGTAGGGGTTTCGTCAGGATGTCAGCAGTCATTTCTTGGGTGCTGCAGTAGGATAGTTCCACAAGTCCATCCTGGATCATCTGGCGTATGTAGTGGTATTTAACCCCAATGTGTTTTGTTCTGGCCAGGAACTTCTCACTCTGCGTCAGCTTCAGGCAACTCTGATTGTCCTCTAGCAAGGCCCTTTTCTCACCAACCCAAAGTCCTTTATGAGTTGATCAAGCCAGGCGATCTCTCTGCAGGCTTCTGTTGCTGCAACGTATTCTGATTCTGTGGAAGATAATGCTACACAGCTCTGTTTATAACTGCCCCACGCGACAGGTCCATCACCAAACATGAAAACATGACCACTCGTTGATTTATAGTCAGCATTATCCCCAGCCCAATCAGCATCTGTATACCCAACCAACTTAGGGTCTTTGACAGCTGGTAACCTTAATTTACAATTCATGGTACCCTTCAAATATCGCACCACCCTCTTTACACCTGCCCAATCATGCTCAGTGGGAGAATTCACTTTTCTGCTAAGAATCCCCACAGCATTAGCTAAGTCAGGTCTACATGTGGTAACTAAATACAAAAGTTTACCAATCGCCGACCTGTAGTCATTGTTGTCTGGCAACTGCTTCGAATCCTGCTGATTCTTCAGGAAGTCAGTAGCCATCGGTGTAGCAACTGGATGTGCGTCTTGCATCTGCATGTGCTCAATTAGCTCGTGGATCTTCTGTCTTTGGCTAAGAAGAAATGAGCCGTCCTCTTCTCTTTCCACCTGGATCCCGAGGTAGTATTGGACATCTCCTAGCTCCTTGACCTCCACCTCTTTGCTAAGGTGTTTTACTATCTGTGTATAGTCTTTCTCACTTGCTGTGGCAATAATCAGGTCATCAACAAAAGCTAGGATATATGAGAATTGTCCATTATTTGACTTACTGTACAAGCACTTGTCAGCATCGCCTTGCTTGTACCCAAGTTGCGTCAGCATTTTATGCAACTTCTGGTTCCAGGCTCTAGCAGCCTGTTTAAGTCCATAAAGTCCTTTCTGCAGCTTGCACACTAGATGTGCCTCATGTGGTTTTACAAAACCCTTGGGCTGCCTCATGTAAATTTCCTCTGAAATCTGCCCATGTAGAAAAGCGGTAGCAATGTCAATGTGTCTCACCCTCATTTTCTTGGAGGCTGCAATGCTTAAAAGCATTCTTACGCTGCTGTACCTCACAGTTGGTGCAAAAACTTCATCGTAGTCTTCACCAAAACGCTGTGAAAATCCCTGTGCCACAAGTCTAGCTTTGTAGCGCTGCACTTCTCCTTCTGACCCCTTCTTAACCTTGAAAAACCCATTTACTGCCAATGGCCTTCTTACCGGGAGGCAGCTCAGTGAGTGTCCAGGTCTTGTTCTGATGCAGTGCATCCATCTCCTCCTGCGCGGCCTTCCTCCAGAGAGTGGCTTCAGCAGCTGGCATCTCCTGTATCTCTTCCCAAGTGGAAGGTTCCTGTGGAAACGCCGACCCTGCAAAGTAGGACAACCGTACTGGTGGGACACCTCTGTTGGTTCTGGATGAGCGTCTGACCTCTGGTTCTGCGACCGCATCAGCTTCCTCATCAAAAGCTTTGGGAGTCAGATCAATTCTTTGAATAATCTCAGTAAACTTGTTGATGTGCTCTGTGAATTCCTCTTTTGAATTCATCCTCAATCTGGTTAATTTTACACACCAAGTTTCTGAAGCTGTTTATGCTAGATTCTCCATACACGCGCTCAATATCTCTTAAGATTTGAGATGCATCATCTGTGCTATTTATTAATGATAGCTGCTCATCACGAAGTCCACTCAAAATTATGTGTCTAGCTTCGCTGTTCATGCGTTTCCAAGCACTTATCTTGGCTAAATCTCCTCAGACGATCCTGTAGGCTGAGGCTCTAAAGCTTCCAAAATGTGGCTTATAATCCAAACATGCTATCCAAGCGCTGCTTCCAGTGCATGAAATTGTACTCATTCAGCCAGGGCATTCCTAGCTTTGCATCACTATCAAAAGCTTGCTCTAGCCATCTTAAAATCCAAAATTTGAAAATTCCTTCAAAATTTCAAAATTTCTCAAAATTTTAAAATCAAAATTTCAAAATCTCAAAAATATGAAACAATTCTTCACTGCTTGGGTCACTGTGAACTCTGAGGGAAGGGGGTGGGTTGCTTAATCCCCACTGCACAATGGAACAAAGGACCATGTGCTTACCAGGAAGTTAACTCAGAAAAAATACTACTCAACTCAAAATCACAATCCAATGCAATCTCTCAAAAATACGCCAGAAAATATGCAGTACTGGGGGCCACTAACGCCTTTGTGGGAATGTTCTGGGGTGCAGGAAGGATATATTGACTAATTATATCCTGATCCAACTTGTGCTAACAAGTTCCCAAAATATCAGCAGAGTTTACATACATTCCCCTTTAGTACGCAACGGTAACGTGTGCACAGGTTCGCTAGAACCTCTATAATAATTACCCTGTAATTTCCCCTTTAGTTCCCTCTTAAAATACAAGACACGACACAGTCTTCATAAAAGTATAAAGAGTTTACTCACGTTCTGTTCACAATGTGATCCCCAGAAGGCACAGCTTAAAAAGGTTACATAGATTTAGAATCTATCTCATAGCAAGATAGGCCTTATCTCCTCTCTTGGCTGGGAGCCAAGAGAGGCATCTTAGATGTTGCTTCATCGAAGGAAAATGGCAGAGAGAGAGAGATGGCTGCCTGCCCTGTGCTTTTTTTGTCATCACCTGCACAGTGAGGCCACTACCCACCTCTAGTCACATGTGGAGGAAGTCCGTCCCCAGGAAGTTTACCTGCTTGCTGGACAGACATCCCACCAGCATGTTCTAACATGTACACTCTAGGAATGTCTGTCATTGTACTGCTCCTGTGTTTACATCCCACAAATAGAGCATCTTAAAGGCTACAGCACATTCAGTTCAGATATCTGTCTCTTGCAGAAGTCAGACTAACAAATTGACTAACCAATTTATTCAAGCATAAGCTCTCACAGGCAAGAGGCCTATTTGATCTGATGAAATGGTTTTAACAGATGCAGACTCTGGGCATTGTTTCCTCACCCCACTTTTGACCCAAATTACCTCTCCCATTGTTCTGAGAGAACATGGGAATACAGGAACACTGCAATTTTGCCTAATACGCAGTCAGGCCAATGGTCCGTTGACTGGCACCAGCTATGCAGAATTTCAGATGGGGGTCTCCTCCAGCCCTACCTGAAGATGCTGAGGATTGGACCTTGGACCTTCTGCATACAATGTATGTGCTCTACCCACTGAGCCACAGTCCTTTTCATGGATTCTTCCTTCCTTCCTTCCTTCCTTCTTCCTTCCTTCCTTCCTTCCTTCGAGTTCTGCCCAATCTCAGTCCATATTTCATGGCTGGTTAAATCATCTGTCCCACTCCTGATTCTCGACGCCTCTTCTTCTGCCAGTCTTTGGCCAATTGGGAAGTCCAAATAGAGCCAGCAATTCCTTCAGGGAGGAAAATCATAAGTCATCAATGATGAGGTCATCTGGATAGGAGAGAATGAAAAAGAGAGTCCTCTCCGCTTTTTGTAGCTGGAGTCAGTCTGGGTGCTGCCCTCCCAGGCCAGGTGGGAAAGGCCTGCCAGGCAGAGAGCAGGTCCTGCAGGACCCCCAGCAGAAAGACCTGGGGGGTGTCATGGGCAAACAAGGGTCAAGGGATTTCGCTGTCCCCAAGGTGTGGGGCTTACCTTCTTTCAGATTTTGCAGGAAGCAGGCCAGCTCTGGCCGAATTACTGTGTCCTGCAGAGGAAAGAAAAATCTGGGTCAGATAACACTACGAACCCCACCAAGGATGGGTACAAGAGAGCACAGAAGCAGCCCCATGCCAGGGGCCTCCCTATGGCTTGGGCCCAATCGCTTGCCCCAGAGGCATAGGCGCCGACTCCATGGGGAAACGTCCTCCACCGGTGACGTCACCCGGGCCTTGCGGAAAAGGCACTGCGGGAGTCGCCGCCGCCGCGGCAGGGCCGCTGCAGAAGGGTGAGTGGCGAGGGCGGGGCGGGGCCGCGCGCTCCTTTCCTCGGCTGCCCTCGTCGCGCGCCTTGGCTCCCGCGGCCGGCGAGGGGAGCCCGGGCCGCGCGCGGCTGCTGCTGCCGCCGCCGCCTCTCCTGGGGGCGCCGCCTCCCCGGGCGGGAACGCTGCGGGTGCGCGCGAGGGAGGGGCGGCCCCCCGGGGGCGTGGGAGAGCCGGGCTGCCGTGGCCGAGAGGGCTGCTCTGCCGGGCGCCGCTGACAATTGAACTTAGAAACTTCCCGGGGGCAGGACCCCGGTTGGGCCCCCCCAATATTTTTATAAGTCGGCGCCCCTGCCCAGAGGACCTCCCTGGGCCCTGCAGCCTCCTGGGAAGAGGTGGAAGGACAACACCAGGAAAGGGGGCAGGAAAAGCCTCTGGCCTCATCATGGCACCCAGGGACACACACCGCATATTCTGCATTAAAAGTCACGGGGGGGGGTGCTCTTGAGGGGATGGAAGTAACCAAAGAAATGAATACAAGAAGGCAAGATACTTACTCTGAGGTGGGGGAATCTTCGTGAAATGGCCAGCAGCAGAGAAATACTGCTGGCCGCTAATTTCCTTTCCACCTCACTGCCCCAAAGGGCGTAATATCGGTGGTCCTGCGGGAGGAAAGAGTGTCTCAGGTATGGAGCCAGTCTGGGCCAAAGTGGCCCTCTGCTGCCCCCATCACAGAGTCCCTGGCACTCCCGAACCATGAGGGTTGCCAGTTTTGGTCTTGGGCCAAATTGGGGCCAAACGGGACAGGG